AAAAAAAAAAAAAAAAAAAAAAAAAAAAAAAAAAAAAACTAGAAAAAAGAAAACTAATGAATTTGTTTCTCCCTTATACGAAGGAAAATAAAATTGTAGCTTAAAACGAGCTTCAACGAAAATAAACAAAACGATGGTGTATAGTCGTGGAAGGATGGGTGGTAGGTTAGAAGGGGTTGGAAGATTTAGCATAAAACTGTGTTCTTATTTCGTGTATTTGTTTTTACGTGTTGGTAGTTGGCCTCCTTTTTCTTTTCTTCTCTTCTCTTTTTTCTTTTTTTTCACACTAAAATCATTGGCACCGAGATAACACGTTGCATAACCGAGAAGTCAAATAAAATTAAAATAAAATCAAAATAACATTTTGTAAATCCGAGAAAAATGGAGAGAAAGAAAAAAAAAGAAAAGAAAAGAGAAGAAAAAGAAATAGAAAAAAAAAAAAAAGTAAAACTAGTCTCTACTGTAAAAAATACAAAAATAAAATTGAACAAAAACAATTTTGTTTTATCCATTTGACGTTCGTGCCAATTTTCTTTTCGCAAGAATTTATCACCCCCCGCCCCTACTTCCCACCGATAAGAAAAAACCCTTTTTCTTTTCTCTATCATTTTCTTTTTTCTCATTCTCTTTCTAGTTCTCTTTTTATCTAACTTACTTCGATCGTGCTTACCCTCGAAACATTATCGAGCGTTCGCAATAGCGCCAGGGAAAAACGTCAGAAAAGGGAAAACGAGAACATGAGCTTAGTTTCTGGTTGGTTGGTAGAAGGAAACACACAAAACCATTTATTTATCTCACATGCTATTCTAACTCAATAAAGAAGTGTCAAATTATTTTAGAAAGTGCTGTACATATAATAGAATTGATGTGAATAAAAGAGGATAGTTAATATAATATTATATTAATTTAATTTAATTTGTTGATTTCAATCTTTCCTTTCATCAGATAAGAGTAAAGAAAAAAAAAAAAAAATAAGAGTTGAGCACATGTTTGACAAACGGTAGATAATCTTTGACGATTCTCCATTCTGTTCTACTGTCAACACACGTTACCTATACATAATGAATAGTAAGAAAAGTGTAACGTTGAATCGGTTTAAGGGTCACAAAAGGATCTTTGCAATGGGAAGATTCCGCATAATGCATTTAAGCATTATTATTATCATCGTGGTCTCTAAGATTTACTTTACCGTAACCCGAACACCATGCGTTTTCTTTACTTTTTTTTTTCTTTCTTTTCTTTTCCATTCTATCTTTTTTCTTTTTTTACTAAACAATAAGAGTCGGATTGATCTATCGATCGATTTATCGTTCCTTTCAAAGGTTCTACGCAATAACGTCGAATGATCTTTCGCGTTGGTTCGCTTCGTTCGTTCGTCGAATTCACCATTACGAGAAATGAAATTCGTTTTGATCGGATATTTAATTTGAAACCTTTTCCTCTTTATCGCCTTTCTTCCATTTCCTGTTACACGTACGAAACTAGTCCTTACCAATTCGTGAGCACAATTCTACTCCTCCATTATTTCCATCAACGTCGAATCATTATAATTGCAACGAATGTTCTACGAACGCTATAACAGATGCAGATCTTCAGATAAGCTAAGGGAACCATAAACGATAAGCTATGATCGTCTCGAGTGCTACTAACATCAATTTATTATATCGAAGCGTCAAATGATCCCAATATGTCAAAGTATAATACACATTAATAATATTCTTATCTAACGTATGCATCGATCCATTTAACTACTCTTGACGATTTAATAAAGTATTAATACTTTGAAATATTTACTACTTAATTCGGAAAACATATTAAAAAATTCTATTCTTAATTATGGTCATGAAATTTTTGTTGAGTCTTGAAATTTATTTCAATTTATTCAGAAAGATTTGAAGAGATCATCTCAAAAAACAAATTAAATATCATTTTTTTTTTGTTTTAAAGACAAACCCTTTGTGGTTTTAAATTTACGAGATATGTATCAAATTATTTATACAATTGTGCACTTAAATATTCATAAGTATAAATGATATATATACATATATAAGAGTGAAGAATGTCAATTAAATCGGTCTGAGGATCGATAAGGGAATGCATAAAATTCATACAGAAGAAAAAAGCATAAAAGCGAACGAAGTTCTGATATCGATTAGGTCGAGACAAGCTTTATAAGTCCGATCAATTTCCACTTTCAACGGCTTACTTCTTAAAAAAAAAAAAAAAAAAGAAAGAAAAGGATTTAAAAGATAGAGGTACCATAACATTCAATCGATTTATGCAACATCTTAATTCGAACCCTTTTTTTCTTAATTAATTATTTAATCAAAGATCAACAAATTTTATTCATTTACTGTGTTTTTTTTTTGATTCTAAAAATAATTTTCAATTATTTATCAACAATAGTGTAAGATTATTCAAATTGTTAAACATAAGAACTGAAAATGATGTTTCGTTTGAGAACACACAATGAATCGTATTAATAGAATGAGTTATTTTATTAGAAAATAATCGATAAACGATTTGATATTGAATAATAATAATAATGATAATAATAATAATAATAATAATAATAATAATAATAATAATAATAATAATAATAATAATAATAGTATGTGGACTTACCTTTCTGGCCAAGGACAGGCAAAAATTCTGCAAAATGCTAGGCCGAGAGAAAGTAAAATGCTCAATGCTATAACTACGTAAACGATGCAAAGGTGGACCAATGAGAATATGTAAAGGGTTCTATGGCACCATCTGTCAGGATCGTAAAGTAAAGGTGTGTATTCTGGCCATTCGATGCTCAGTATCCAATAATTACCTGCAAAACAATAATCCCTACCACTTAAAGCTAGGAAAAAAACTGATAAACAATGACAAATATGATTTTGCATTATTATTCTCTTGTTTCCAAAAACAATTGAAAAATATAATAAATGAAATATATAAATCGTGGAAAAATAAAATGAATCATTTTATTATTTAAAAATGCACGATAAACAATTTATAAAATATTAGAAAATATTGATTGTATTTTTCATTGAAATTGAAATATCAAACACGAGTTTTATGATGATCATAAAACGTGGTTAATTTTAATTGAATGATTTGTTTATTCTTTTTTTTTCTTTTTTTCTTCTTCCACAATTTGATGATAAAATTATGCGAATAAAGGTAAAAAGTTTCTTCATATTTTTCTTACAGTTGACTTTTTTCTTTAAAGATTGTTTTATTAAAATTTGACAATACTTGTCGAGTATGTTTGATAATTGAAATAATTGGTTAATTATATTTGCAATAAGTTAGACACACACACACACACACACAAAATTAGATTTCATTGAAATACGAAGAAGAAACTTTGTCCCTTTTACTGACTCTACTATTTTTTTTTTCTTTTTTGTTCAAATGGATCGTAACTTTTTTCATTAATTAACGTTCTATTAAAGTTTTTTGTCTTTGAATTAGTTTACCTAAGACAAACCAACCGACGAGGAAGCACGAAAGGGTTATCGAAGCCAGCTTCATTGGTGAAACATAAGATCTGGTATTAGGAACTGTAAGAGCTTCCGGTCTTCTTGAACGTATTTGAGAGTAAAGTGACCAAAACATTCTAACGGTTCCCAAAGTGCCACCGACCACCATGTAGACAGGAATGTGTGGTTCCCTTGGGCAATCCTTGATAAACTGCAAACCTAAATTTTAATCAAACTTTATCAATTAATTTTTATTTCATTTATTTATTATAATATTATATATAATACAATATAAATAATATTTATTCATTATATAATATTATATATTATAATTATTGTATTATTAAAAACAAAATTCTATTTTATTCTTTCGTTTTTTTTCTTCTTCTTCTAAAACTTTCAACGTTTAATTAAAAAAGAAGCCTACAATTTTTTCAATATTTATTTTTCTTATTAATTACAACGTCATATCGTTGTTTTTTTTTTTAAATGTTCATATATTAAAATAATAAAATTAAATATATATAATATTATAAATAAAATTAAAATCACACACACACACACACACAAATTATACTTCTCAATTTTCACATGCAACTTTTTATTTACTTTTCTGTAACGATCAAACTTTCAGAGCTATTTAAGTGACAAGAACTGGTGAATCACTCTGTATATACATATATAAAGTTCATTCGTAAGTTTGTATTCATTCGTTCGTTCATTCGTTAGTTCGTTCGTTCCTATCTTTGGTTGTTTGTAGGCGTGTCACGAGATATCGGATCGCGTGCTTTAAAGCCCCAAGAGAGCCAATTAACTTTGCAATGATGCCGGATGTCCTCTATAATTTAATCCTTCGATCCTTATACTCCCGGAAGATTTCCCCGAGTGTCGGTTAAAGTCGGATAAACTATCGTCAAAAGTTTTCTTTTTTCTTTCATTCTTTCTCTTTTTTTTTTTTTTTTTTTTTTTTTTTTTTTTTGAAAGTAGATACTTTTCTGTATAAGTGGTCGTAATGTAAAAGAAAAAAAAATCTCTTAAATGTTGAGGGTGGAAGATTATTACAATTGAACGTGACGTTGAATATAATTTCATAATTTTTCGGTTTTTTTTTTATCTTTCTCTCTCTCTCTCTCTCTCTCTCTCTCTCTCTCTTTCTCTTTTTTCATTTGATTTAATCAAGACAAGTTTTTCTACTTTACTTAAAAAAAAAATGACTATTGACAGGTAGATCGAGTTTCTTTCAGATATTTTTTTTTTTTTTATATTATTTTTCTTCTTCTAACCTTTTTTCCACGATAGAAAAAATATTCACTGCACCATCTCCTCTCTCTCTCTCTCTCTCTCTCTCTCTCTCTTTCAATCGAACGAATCGATGGAGAGATATTTTGCTTTCATGCATACAAAAGGACTCTGCCATTCAATAGGAAGGATCACGAAAGCTGTCGCTTAACACGCAAAACGTCGTCGATTTAATGATTAAAAGTATTGAACGACGATTGGTAGAGGATATTTTAAATAAACTTTTTCTTTTTCTTTTTCTTTTTATTTTTATTTTTTTTTATTTTGCTATGTTGATGCATCAACGAGAGAAATTTACTTTTAAACGAGAAGACTTTTCTTTTGTTTATTTTAACAAAACATTTAACGTGCACAATGTTTCTTTTTTTTTTTTTTTTTATCCATGGAAATAATTTTTCTACAAATTTGTTTTTAAAAAAAATTCAATACTAAAAAGTAATCAACTATTTGAAATTCCACTATTGTAAAAAAAAATTCAGTCAAAAAATAAAGTTAAATTATTTTTATAGAAATAAATCTAATAACAATAATAATAATAATAATAATAAATAAATATAATATAATATAATATAATATAATGTATAAATCTAATAATAAAGAAATAAAATAATGTTTAAAAGATTAAAGAAACAATTAAAATTCGATTACTTTAAGCTAATATATTTGAATAAAAATAAACTCGAAGAATAGGACAGTTAATTATTTAAATTGAAACACACTTTCTGAAGCATTGATGATAACGTACTGACATATAAAGACGCACATAAGTTTAAACCGACTATAGAAAGTTATTAAAGCTGGATAGTACACTATCTAAAAATAAATCTAACGATATATATTCATATATATGTTCCTAACGATAAATCCTACACAGTTTTTCTTCCTTTTCTTTTCATGTTTTGTTTTTTTTTTCTTCTAAATATTGCATACCTTCCTTGAAAGAAGAAGAACGTTTATTGAGAAAACATTTTTTTTTGTGTCGGTGCGTGGGAAGAAATATTTAAAAAAGAAAACAAGTAAATAATAATAATAATTATTATTATTATTAATTGGCAATAGAAACTCGAAAGTTCATTGCAGCAAATACTAAATCCCGCCAGTGTTCTCGTCCCTGAGCTTGACCCCATCCATTCGCGGTCTTCGTAACCCAATTCTTTAAGATCTCGAAATAATATTGTCCTCCCATCTACGTCTCGGTCTACCCAATGGTCTTTTCCCGTTCGGTATATCGATCAGTATTTTATGTGCCCTTCAATCCTCCCCCATACGCGCCACGTAACCTGCCCATCTTAATCGGCGTGATTTTACGACGTTAATGATGTCAAGTTTGTTGTACAGTCGGTGTACTTCTACGTTATGGGGTTTTTTCCATTCACCCGTTTCCTCATCGCGTTTTGCACCGAACATTTTACGAACAACTTTATTTTCTCAAACCCTCAATTTCTTTTCGTCCCATAACGTAAGTTACCACGTTTCGTTACCATAAAGGACTATCGGTAGGATGATTGTCCTGTATATCCTGATTTTCAAGCACCTAGACATCAACCACGAGCTGAATAATTTATTGACATTGCCTAAATTGATTTTTTTTCTTAACTTCTTCGTTCATCTGATTTATGATTCTAAAATTGCTGACTCGTTCGAAAATTTGGTCCCAGACGATCAAAGATCCAATATTATCCACATTCTCAATTCTATCGGTGACCATATATTTGATTTAATAATAATAATAATAGATTATAGAACTTACCAAGTATGAACATGAGAATAGGCATCGTAGAAAGTATTGCTAGACAAATGGTTACTATCATCGTCTTGCTAATGACCCTTAAAGCACGAAAAACAAAGTCGCACGTGCCGTTGGCCTCGAGATGGGCGTCCTTCAGTTGGAAGACCACGGAACCATAGGTCGCCACTCCGAGGTTTGCGGTCTCCGAAGTACCCTTAACTGGAATTTTGATAATTCCAGCACACAATCGACGTGATTCGTCACCTGAAAACTAGAATTTCCATTCCCACATATTTTTTCAATTCATTAATATTCAATCTAATACAAATGAAAAACTTAAGATTTGTTCGATCAAAATCAGAATGAAATTTGATTGAAAAATGTTCATTCTAAACTAATAATTTTCTAATAATAATAAAATTAATATAAACTTTACAAACAACCTGTATAAAAATTCCAGATTCAAGCTTTAGTCTTATAAAATTAAAATGAATTATTAATATATTATTTTTTAAATTGCTAATATTTTTTCTAAGAAAAACTAAAAAAATTCTTTCCTCGAGACAAGATTTGTTGTATTTTAAATTTTCCCATACATCGTGTAAAAATGGTCTCGAAGAAGAAACTATTATTAAACGTGTTTTTTCCCTTTTTTTTTTTTTTTTAATTTTGATACTCTGACAACGCGTTCGAGAAATGACATAAAAATAAAAAAGATGGAATAAAAAAAAAAAACTAGGAAAAGAAAAAGGATAGATGAATTGAAGTAGAATGTAAGAGAAAAGAGAAAAAAGTGGAGTATAAAACAAAGCTCTCAGTGAGCAACCAACCGAGAGTCTTTTTCCTAGGCGAGAAAATGCATTTGGTAAACAGCGTTACCATCTAGCGCTTGTCGTCTAACGAAATTCTTGCCAAGGCATACACAAAACACAAAGAAAAACTAACCGTGTTTACTACACAGCTAGGCACATAATATGTCGGTGTTCTGCATCTAACGGAAAATATGCTACGAACAAAAACAAAAAAAAATGTATGATACAGTACTCAACATTCCCATCCTTTTTTCCCCTCCCCCCTAAAGCTTAACTTTTGAATTAAAATTATCTCACATTTTTCTTCTACTTTTGTGTGTGTGTGTTCGTCACTCTAAAATTTACAACACACAACATTTATGAATATTCATAAACGTGATTTGTGTGCACGTAGCATACGCGATGACATAATGTGTCGATGTCCCACCACCACCACCCTCACACACTATGATTTATACGATATTTTGTAATTTTAATTGTAACGAATAATAATTATTATTATCATTATTTAACTTTTCTGAATGTTAATGATACTATACATTTGTAAACAATTTAATTTTAATAGTCACAGTTCATTAAGATATTCTATTTTCCGAATGAGTTTTTCAGTTAATTAGAGATATCGTAGTGGTAGATTAGAAATTGATTGGGAACATTTCTGTACGTTCCCAGTGGAGTTAGGTAAATAATTACATACCTGAGAAACTGAACTACTTGCTCGCCTGGATTCCGTCCAAGAACTTCCACCGTACGCATGATTAATTTGAGCACCGTTCCCAGCTGATCTTACACTACTACAATTTGTATCCTTTTGACGATAGGGAGAGGAACTGCGGCTTCTAACGGTACCTGTGACAAACAAATTCATTCGAAATCTCAAAGTTTACGACATTTATAATTCTTCAAAATTCAATTCTTAAATATTACATTTTTACTTTGAAAATTGTTACAAATTTTAACATAGTTAAGAAATAGCAAGGTGCATGTTGAAAGAACATTAAAATAGATTTCTAATTGCACGAACTCGTCGTTATTCATTTTTAATATGGAAAAACTTATAACGTGTGTTATAAAAAGGTTTAACAAGAGTTATGATTTTGTTTTGACTATCGAATGCATATAATACATTTATCGTTAATCTTATCAAACAAACAATTGTATTTTACTAATTACTCTATAACTAATTACCTTGATCAGCGGAAGCTCTTCTAGGATCCTGCACTATCAAATTGCTTTTGGTAGTTCTTCTATCGAGTCCACCACCACCAAGACTACCCCTAGGACTTCTATCAATACACTCAGGAGCAATACTACCCCTGGGACTTCTATTTTCTTCATCGTTGCCAGCTATGATATTTCTTGAAGAAGAATGCCTTTCCAAATCGTTAACAACTATACTACCACGTGGAGATCTATTGGTTTGTTCATGCGTAACTATAGATCCACGTGGACTACGATTACTCTCGGGACAAATAGATCCTCTTGGTGAACGATTTGGATCAGGTGCTATGGAACCCCTTGGAGACCTATTAGGATCAGGTGCAATAGAACCACGCGGACTTTGATTAGCGCATTCGGAACTCAACGAACCACGAGGACTCCTATCGATTTCTAACGGTGTCGTGGAACCACCCACACCACCRCCACCACTAGCACCACCTCTTCCGGTTCTCATCATTTCCGGACAAATCGAACCACGTGGGCTACGGTCAAATTCTAAATTTGCAACGCTTCCTCTTGGACTCCTGTTTGAATCTGGTACCAAGGAATGTCTTGGGCTACGATTTAAATGACCACTCGTTCCATTTTCTGCCATCAGTGATGTCCTCGAACCACCCAACGGTACCAAACTATTTCGCGGACTGCGATTGTAGGCCAAGTCGGGTACCAACGAGTGTCTTGGACTATGCGGTGTATCCGGAGTCAAACTATTTCTTGCTGATCTAGATATTTCTGGTACCAAACTGTTACGTGGACTACGACCAACGTCTGGTATCAAAGAACCACGAGGACTTCTGCAATAATCATCCGGTATCAAGGAATTACGTGGACTTCTTCCTATCTCAGCTATTGTTAGATTGTTCCGTGATCCACCGTAATCCAAATTTGGTAAAATTCTTCTACCACTTCCCTAGAAATTGTACAAATGAAAGATTATCATTATAATGATCGTTCAACATTTATGTTTTGTTTTATTATTAAAAGGATCTATTATCACGAGTTTAATTTATTTTATTTATGTATTATTTAAATGATAAGTATTTTTCTTAACAATTATTAATTTTTTCAAGTGTTCCAATTATAATTTGTAGTTAATTAAAACTATCTTTTATTGTTTGTTTTTTCGATAATAAGAGAAACTTCGTTAGAGTTTTTTTTTTCCTTTTTTGAAGAAACCAAAATGTAGGGGTTTGCAATGTTATCATCGTACCGTGAGAAAACCCTCAAGAATAAAAGTTTCTTAGGAACAAGCACTTGTAGTATACTTTGATAAAACTTCGAGAAAATATAAGGGGAGGTAGGGAAAACAATTTTTCTCTTTGAAAATCAGGTCTCTGCATGCAAAGACATGTATGCACGTCTTATAAAATTGAAATATATATATATATATAGAAATTGGGGGAGTGGAAAGAAGAGAAAAACAACAGATAACAACCTCTTCTAGTAAATCATTTTGAACGTCGAGTGCTATATTTGGTACTACACTTCCTCTTGGTGATTTTTGCCTTTCCATAGTTCCGCAGGGATTGATTTGTGTCAAAAGATCTGGTTTTTCAGTAGCTACACTTGCACGTCTTCCTCTGTTAACTGCAATCGTTGCTGCTGTGGTTGTTGTTGCTGTTGTTGTTGATGATGCACCAACAGGATGATTCGAATTTGTTACGTTTCGTGACGCCCTACGGCGTCGCGACGATGCACTTCGGTGTAACATCACGTACACATTCTCTCAATTCTAAAATTTTAATAATAATTTTTATATTTGTTTAATTTTTCTTTGCTTTTGTTTCTCTTTTTAACTCACATCAAAATTCGTTCACTCGTTTCACGATTATTATTTATTACATTTATATTATTATAATAATTTAAATACTTTCTGCAAAATGTTATTGGTTTTTTATTTATGTTATTTTTTTTTTTTTTTTTTTTTTTTTTTATCAAATTACAAAACGAAAGTTCTATGTTTATTAGAATAATTTTTAATTTTATATACATATATGTTCCCTAGAAATAAAAGTTCTAAAGCAGAATAAAAAATAAAAAAAAGTACCTTAGAAAACTTTAAACACTTATAATGTACTTACAATTTGTTTTATTCACTCAATAAAGTTCTTTTAATTATACCACAAGCAAACAAACCCACTTTTATACTTACAATTGTAATACAGCTTCTAACTTACTAATTATTACAAGAAAAGAAATCAACTTCATCATGATATTAAATCGTAATAATGTAAAGTCTGCGAAAAATAATTAATTAAATATCCTAGAAAAAAAAAGGGAAAAAATAATGTTATATTATATTATCTAAAAAAAAAAGGTAAGAAAATAAAAAAAAATTAAAAAAAAAAAAAATAGAAAATATATAGAACAATATTTGAAATTAGAATAATAATAAATTAATAAGAAATATATATATATTATGACAAATATTTTTACAAATTAAACAAACAAACATACGAACAAATTTTGTTATAACTTTCCCCAAACAAAACAAAACCAATAATAAATTATATATTCCTTACAACCCCCAATAGAAGATTCCTATAATAATCTTGTTGTAATGATAACATTGAAACTCTTTAGGGTTGATATGAAAGGTGGTAGTAGGCGGTGGTTTGTATGTTGGAATAGAAATAGGAATGGGGATTGAGAATGGGACTTTACATGTGGGAGCAAGGATAACGATATCCTTGTACAAAGCATTCTTGTATGACATATTGCTGGGTTTAGGAGATAAGCCCTTGGTAACATATCTCTCTCACCTTATGAACCCCCCTTTCTCTCTCTCTCGCTCTGTCTCTCTATTCTCCATACATGTAACTTCAATAGATATATATACTACACACTGTCCTCTGTGTATTTTGTAATTCGGTTTCCATCATTCTTTTTTCCATAAGATTTGTTATTCTATCGTTGACATATCTCAACACGTGGAAATAATCTTATAGTAAGGTGGATGGTTAAAAATGAGACAACCGCCATAAGTCTCGTTACTTCATCCTTAGATTTATTGCTTGAACCTGCTTACCAATTTTTATTCAACCTTTTCTAAATATATATATATATATATAAATATAAGTACACATTTTTCCTTTTTTTGTTTTTTTGTTTTTATATTTTCTTATGACGTTTATCATTTTTACGTATCAATCAGAAATTTGTAAACAAAATAATACAAATTATTGTGGTATTTTGCGTTATTTATCAGTATACAGTATGATTAATTTGAAATAACAGAAATTATACTATAACAAAATATCGTATTAATTTCTTTTATTTCATTAACCATCGTTTGCAAATTGAAATCCTTTTTCAAACCACAAGTTTAAATAAAAATAAGTAAATAAATAAAATAACGAATGATCTTTTGTTCGATTGGATTCGTTTGTGAATAAATTTGTCTATGTGTGTGTATGAGAGAGACAACAATAAAATATTTATCAAACAATAGGTTGGATTATTTATTTAATATTATTTGTATTTATATATATATATATGAGAAGACTTAAACAAACCCATCAACAATATCCCTGTATTATATCATTGAATTTCAATCGAACTTTTGCAATAAAAAAAGACAAATAAACGATATGATTAAGAATAAAATGTGATGGTCGCGGTATCAGGGGAGGGGGGAGGGAGAGAGGGAGGGAGGGAGGAGGGAGGGGGATGAACAACACATTGATTGTCTCTATCAACAACCTAAACAAAAAATTCGGTGGGCGTTTATCGAACGACCAAAATATTCTCTCTGCGGTTTTACCAACGAAGATTCCATTAACCCGAGTACGGATCAATGACCGTAGCATTTTCTCTCTACATTTTCTATCATTTTTTTTTCTTTCTTTCTTTCTTTCTTTTAAACAGGGGTTGAGGGTTGAAAAAGGACCAGTATATTTCCATTTTTATCATCCCTTTTTTTCGTTAAATTACTGAAATCCATTTGTTTCTAAACCACCTACTACTTTACCCTACACAGTTTCCCCCTACACTTTCTAACCTAAAAAAAAAAAAAATAGGAATGAGTTTAATGAGGAAAAATAATAGAAAAAAAAAAAATAGAAAAAAGAGGCAATTTGAAAGAGGGATTATTTCCCACTTAACACGAAAAGTTTTGAAATCTTTCAGCGAAAGTTTTCGTAAAATATTTCCAAAAGATCTTTGAAAAATCTTGCAGGCATCGTTCTAAAATATTTTGAAAAAGATTCATAAAGGATTTTATAAAAATATTTTAAAAACATTTCTAAAATATTTTACTGATAGAGTAATTGAAATGTTTAAAAATATTTCTATGTAACCTTGCAGTATAACCTTGAAAAAAGATTTTATAAAATATTTCAAAAAAGTTTGTGTAAGAATATTATTGAAAATATTTCATTACATGTTGCAGAAAGGTTTTCAAAAGTTTTTTTTTTTTTTAATTATTTTTTTCAAAATGTTTTGTAAATCTTGTAATAATCTTTTCAATAATATTTCTCAAGACATTTTGAAAAACTTTCTTGAAATCTTTTGCGACATGTTCTCTGGAAATATTTAAAATTTAATTTTAAATAAATATACTTTTTCGCGAAACCTTGATAAAAAAAATATTTCTATGTAACCTTGCAGTATAATCTTGAAAAAAGATTTTATAAAATATTTCAAGAAAGTTTGTAAGAATACTATTAAAAATATGTCAAAAACATTTCAAACATATCTATAGAAACCTTTAAGGTCGGCGATTCATGTAAACGCCTAAGTTTTGACCGTTTTTCAGAGGCTTCTTTAAAATGGAAGGAATAAATGAATCGTTTTGAAACTCAGGGTGGCCCTCGCGACGAAAGGTATCAATCGGCGTGATTTTTAGCTTCACTTACAGCAATTTGAAATTACAAAAAAAAAGGGTTGGAACGTTTTCATAAAACATATATCTTTTAGTTGAATGAAGAAAAAAAATCAAAAAAGTCAAAAAATCGTAAATTGGCACGATTAAAACAAAAAAGTCCGATTATTGACCCTTTCTTCCGACGGTTTTTGAGTCAAAAATGGTAATTTTTGAAAATTTTTGTGGCATTTTTGAAATTCAACTAGAAGCTAATACTATAAAGAAAATGTGTGCTTAATTTCATAAGAATCGGTTGAATTATGAAAAAAAAAAAAAATTCGATTTTGCCAAACTTATCCAAGCATTCGTGAAAAGGATTGCCCGGTGGGTCCTGGACAGCTCAATTGTTTTTTTTTTTTTAAAAACATTTCAAAATTTTTTTCTAGAAACCTTACGCAAAATATGGTGATAAGGTTTTAAAAAATCTATCAAAAATCTTTTTAGAAATCTTTTGCAAGTTTCTGAACGCGGACATTTCAACCTTGTAGAAAGATTTTTTAGAAACATTTTTGAAAGGTTTAAAGCTTTTCAAGAAATGTTTTAGAAAATTTTTAGAAAGTTTTTATGTTATGTGGGTTATCTGGAACCTTTGATATTATTATTATTATTATTATTATTATTATTATTATTATTGTTTCTCTTTAAAATTCACAACCAACAACCCCCTTTTGTCAAGATTGTCTCGGCCCAAAATGAAGGTTTTTTTATCTTTCTAATCTTGTTTCTTCAATGTTGCTTTTATTTGTTTTTTTTTCTTTTCATTTTATTACTAACCAGAAAAAAATTACTTTGAATGATAATTTGTTAAGATTTAAATATTTCGTTATATAAAAGGTACGTGTAAATAATTAAACTTTTCTTTTTTATTTACTGTATACTTTTGTTTAAAGTAATTTTTTCTTAATAAAATTTGATATTTAATATTTCAATATTTAATTATAACGAATAATACTCGAGAAAAAAAATGTAAACATTGTCAATAGAAAAATTTGTAATACAAAATCCTAAAACTTTGCTAATTGTTTTAGAAAAAGAAGAAGAAGAAGAAAAAATAAATAAAAAGAAATTGCACGAGAGTAATTTGATTTTCTAGAAAACAGAAATAAAACGTAGGATTATAATTAAATAAATAAAAAAAAAAAAAAGCGTTTTAAAAAATTGAAGAAAGTAATATTTGCTTGCGTGTGTGTATGTGTATGTGTAAAACACGAAGTTATATATGTCCAGCATGCATGCACCTTAAGGGCAATTGTTTTTTCGTGTAATTTCGTGAGAGCATGAAAAATATCAAAGATATATCAAACGATAAGACCCGATGTCATAGTTTAAGTTTTCGTGATGATGTATATTGTACCTTACCATACACATACACACCTAATATACACATGTGGAACAAATGTTTCATATTCAAGTATATACTTGCAAGATATACATCTCCTAACGTATGATTAATTTCTGAAACGAGAGAAGTCGGTGACCTGCATTTACCTATAAATACAATCTAGCTTTATGAGTGCTTTATGCACAAGCTTGCAAGCTTGCAATCTAGTGGAAGAAGCTGGAAAACCAAACGTGTATTCTTTATAAACGAGAGAGTTAAGAAATTGTATCTAAGAAAGCTTTTTATTATTAATTTATATTCTTACTATATATTTATTCAACAAAAATAGAATATAAAAAAAAATAAAAATAAAATTGAAAAATAATTATTAATATTTTTCATAGTTTTGATGTATATATATATATATATATATATGTGTGTGTGTGTGTGTGTGTGTGTGTACATATGTATTTATGCAAATATATATGAATGAGTGGGTTTGAAAAATATTAAATTTAATATAAAAATAATTTTTTATCAATCAATATCACTTTAAT